AAAGTGACACCAACACCGAATCCCATTTCATCAAAAGAAAATATATATATATATATACCACAGTACAATCAAATCTGACCTGATGTGGAGACTTGTGAGGCATATGAGACAATCAGAAGGCCGAAAGAAGGCCATTTACAGGATGGTAAAAAAAACTTTTTCTCATATCTTTGTCATTTTAAGAACTGATATTTTACACATTTGTACATAATTCAATTTCCTACCAGCCCACTATATTTCATGACCATCAGATTGATAGTCACAATGTTACAGCACTTTAAAGTACATGCCCCAGTGGCCACTATTGTGCTGTCAGCAAACCTGCACATGTAGTCCAAAATGTCTCTACTTGTGGGGAAACGGCAACGATAAATTGTATGAGAATGACCTCAGGACAATTGCAGACCTCAAAAGTAAGATCATTAGACAATTGTCATTCAGGCCATATCTGCTGAAGAATGTATTTGGATCATTGACAACTGTGCAGGTTTGACAACAGCGTGATAATGCCCAAACCTGAAGCATGTTGTTTAAAGTGCTGTTGTATGATAGTGAATGATGTACAAATGTGTGAAATATGAGAGAGTAATATCTTAAAATGACAAAGATATGAGGAAAATGCAAGGTTTCCATTTTTGACCACCCTGTACAACAAAGCACAAAAGAACCATCTCGTGTATAGAATATGACAATGAGTTGGAAATATGCACTTGACAGCAACCCTAGCCTTATTTCCAGGATTGTTTTTTTTTTGTTTTTTTTATTAAGTTATTCATTTGTACAAAGAATACAATACAAAAATACAGTGTGAGTGGCTGTGCTTTTAGCATTATTAGCCACGTCCAGGATTGTTAAACTGTATAGTGAATCGAGATGGCAAGTGAAGCATCTGGCTGATGTTTAAGTCTGCAGAAGATTTTTGTTAAAATCTGTAAGAAAACCAGGTCTATCAGGGAGGTGGTAAAGTCACATTGTCACATCGCCAGCGACTATGCAGAATCTGTTAGAAATCTGTACATTCAACACAAAAACCTCATGAAGAATGCCAACCAAAGCGAGTCGAAAAGGATGAAGATGATGTGCGCACTTGATATGTAGTCTTGTAGGTCCAAATTATAGATGGTGTCTTAGGAATGGTAAAATAAGGCAAATCTTGCTAATTTGAAAAAAGTGATGAATCAATCATCTTAGCTGGACGTTTTCAAAAAAGGGTGAAGGCTAATGACCATAACAACAACTGGCTCTTACAGTGCAGAGTAAGAGAGTATACATGGAAGCATGTCTTGATGAGGCAGATACTCTAATGATTTACCATGCAATACAAAGGTCAAAGACAGCTAAGTAAGAATAAGAGAAATAGTTCGATGCAGTGATGCTGATGCGTTGGTCATGTTTTTGTACTACTACCACACAGTTCTTTACATCGTCACATGAGATATTCATGCACGGTGGCCATGGGTCAAAGCAGCGCTTCATCAATTCACAGAATATGAGAAAACTTGGTGAAAAGTTTTGCAAATCATTATCAGCAGCTCACACCCTTATAGGATGTGACACTACCTGTTCATTTGCTAAAATTGGGGATATATTACACAAAATTAATCAAGAACATTGATCACCTCAGCAATTTATGCAAGCTTGGATCAGATGAGCATCTACAATGTGAGAGCCATGTAGATGACAAGAAGACGATGACATTGGATGACCTATGCTTTATTTTGGCATCCACAACTGACAAGCCTGCATCTGCAATGCTACTAACAAAAGATGCTTTAAACAACATCTTCTACCAGCACATCTCCAATGTCAAATCTGGACAACGTGCTCACACAGCAAAGCCCAAACTTTGGAAACCAGAAGGCAACGAATGCTACCATATTGATGGAAGTCTGGTTCCTAAGATGATTTTGAGAGCATCCACCCCCATTGAATTAAGGCATATCTTACCCAAATCTATTGTAAACATGGATTTCGCACTAATCAGGCTTGTAGATGCCTACTTGCAGGATTGTTGCGCATGTCTATCTGTTCCCGTGAGGTGGGTAATTGGCAAAACACAATAATGGTTGAGGAAAAACCATATCCAGATGTTTAGAATAAAGATGTTTGAAATAATCATATCATCATATTATATAATGATTCTATTGAAAGATGTAAGCCCTTATATGTAAAAATTGATATTTATCATGTTTAAAATGATCATAACAGTTACCTGATTTTTATATGCATGAATATTTGGATAAGTATATCTGATTAAATATTTAATGATATTATCATTGTGTCTTAATACACCGTTCAAGTACTGTTATTTGCTGCTACATATGCATGGCATATATTGTTTACAATGAGATTAAGTCTTTTTTATAAAGGTTTGTACTCATAATAAGATATTATTGCTTGAATTGGTTTAGCACATGACGTTTATATCATTTAGAACAAAAAATCTGTTATCTTAAAAACGAAAACAATTCAAATTGTAATTTTACTCATAAAACAATGGAAATTATGTAATAATTACATAATTCTAAGTCCAAAGTATTTTTGATAATTATCAAAATTTATTTTAAAGTATATACACAATTAATATTTGTTTAGCTCATGATTTCTTTTCATTATTTCCTTTAAAAATGCTTTACAAAAAATGCTATGTCATAATAATAGATTACATAACATTATGTCATATTTATCGAATCTGACCCATATTTCAATCTGTCAAAATTGGTTTTTGTAATGTACTCAACAAGACGAACAATTTGATACCCATGACGACTTGTTATACTGGGTGCGGGGGTCAAGTTGATATTTGGCTCATAGGTAGCCTGCACTAAAAGATATGACCATCTAAAATCACTTGCCATACTGCACGTGGTCCTTTGCCATATATGGTGCTGGATCTATTCCCATCTGTGTTCCAATTTTTTGTCGCATTATTTTGTTTCCAGCTTTAAAATATGCATTATCCACTATGAAGTCTACTAGTTCAAAACAATCTTTTTTATTAAAGGTTGTCCTTTTGGTTCCAGTTCCTCCCCATTTTGCATCTTCACCATTTACACTAATTTTCCTTCCACCTTTAAATGGTTTTCCTATGGTCCATTTTAGTTTTTCTTTCAGATCTTGTAGGTTTATATTTGTATATAGGGAAAAGTCAAATGTCACAATATTCCTTGCTCCATTTTTCATATTTACTTCTTTAACAAATTCTAGGACAGTTATTTTGGCAAATCCACATCCTGTTTGTTTAAGTTAAGTTTTTAATCTTTTCACAGTATTTGTCATTGCATTTTTGCACTAATTTAAGAATTTTCATAGTTTTCTTGCGGCTGTTTTTATTGAACTTTTCTTTGATCCTATGATGTACCTAAATTTGATAGGATTTTTGTGCATCTTTAATGTAAGGTGTATATTCGGAAGTACTTCATTTCATCTGACAGATGGAGAGTGACTCAGTATCCCTACTGAACTTCGTTAGTTGGGATAATAAGTAAATGGTAATGTTGACAGGTCTTCAACACGTGAAAACGTATGTCTCATTTATACATATCAAAACAATTGGCGGTTCAACGAAAAACAAGATGATGTTAAAAGGTAGTGAACTAAATGGAACAATTATTTTTTATCATTTTGAATGCAAAAAAAGTCAGACAGACGATCTTATTTTCAATATGTCATGGTAATAACCTTTCCAAAAACCGATTCATAAGTATATAATCCGTTGTGATCTTCAAAAGTATCAAAATCTATATTTTTCTTTTTTTGTGGACCCCTGTTGAACCCCTCAACTAGACAACAGCAATGCCAAAGCGTAGCAAATCCCATCTAACAGCCATGGCTGGCACTTTTACAAATGAAGCATATAGCAAAAATCATAAAATAACACACAAAATGGCCACCATTTTCTAAATGGTTGCTCACTATTGCCAAATTGTCATCAGAAAGTGTACTATGCTTCTAAGAAGGTACACATAAAAGGGGTGCAAGCTGTTTGTAGAATGAATTGGGGGAGTCTTTCTATGCATTTTGCTTATGTTTTTCACCTTAAAAACAGGAATACACTTTAAAACGTTTTATTGACTATAAGATTGCACCATATAATCCGAGAATTATTTCTCATTTTCAAGGATTATCCATGGATTAACACCCAGGTATTTTTATTTTTCAAACTTCAGAGGGCTGGGAATCATTGTGATCGACACTTTTAATAACATAAATGCTGTTTTAAATAGGTTTCATGTACAATGTATGCCAATAATTTCTCAATTTGTGTAAACTGCACCAATTCTTTAATCTCTAGAATATTCTCTTGGAGGAATTTCCCATGCTTATCCCATGGTGTGGTTCCAAGCCGATTTTGAGATAACAGGAAGGTTAATCTTTAATATACACCTTATTGAGTTGCGATATAAATGAAAGCAATCCAATAACCTTTCCGAATTATGAGTAACTAATCTGTTGTACTCTTCAAAAATATCAAAATCTAATATTTTTTATGGACCCCTGTTTAACCCCTTGAGCTCTGATCTTTGTGCCTGAGGGGAGAAATATGTTCAGGAGCGAGGAAATGGTGGCGTGCAATTTCAAGTTCGTGATGCGAGAATCATTGTTTGAGTCCAAAGAACGTAGTTCGCGAGGTTAGAACTGATGTTCGCATTGGTGGAAGTCTAAGAGGCCTGTACAACAGAAGTAATAAGGGAATATTCTTGAAATTAGATATACTCAAAATTGAATTGGAGGTAGTAAAATGCTTAAAATCACAAATTAATTCAAAATATCCTGCAAAATGCCTAATAAATAACGACCTCATAGCAATTGACTATTCTATTGACTATTACGATATAATGTTGTTTCATCATACAAAGATTCGCCTTCAGGTCAATGAAGAAAATGATACTTTTTTGTTCAAGGATCTTGTACTACAGGTTATACTGTGCCCAGGGGTCTTGAAATTGCCTCAAGGGTATGGAATTTGAGAGCCTATCTAAATGCCTTAATGTACTTACTTTCTGCCTGAGTTGAGACTTCTGGAATGTTTCGAGGTTCTTGTAATTGCGTCCAGTTGTGACATCATCACAAACAATCACTGATTCATCATCTGAACTATCAATACCAGATTTGCAGTTCTTCATCTTACGAGTAAATAATGGACTCCTCACCTATTAGAAAGCCCATGATCTGTTTAATAATTATAGCCTTCAATATATAAATCTTTCATTATTAGGTAATTTTCACATATATTCCTGAGCTTCCAAAATTTTTCCAAAGATAGATATTAAATGTAACTAATGAAAAACTCACGTCCTTCTATATTATAATAATAACATTGGCAAACTTACCTTATTTTTGCTGAGAGGAATGTCGTGTTTAGATTTCACACGCTTGGCAATGTGTGGTCTGTGTGCAGGAGAGTTAGGCAATGAGGAACTATGGATAGAATCCCTGTCTATTTTCCCAGCAAATTCCTTATTTGAGATTTTTTCCTCTATGATATCAGTGTCTAATGAGGTAATACTATGTCTGGACTGGATTGGGATGTTACAACAAGGGTTTGTAGGGACCCCGGATGGAATATCCAGGTTTAATTGTTTACCATGATTCATGACAGTATCTTTCTCAGAGCTAGTTGATTCTGGGAATGCTGTGCCTCCTGTCCCTGAAAGTTTCCTTGGTCTACCACAATGTTTGGGGGTGATATCAAAGCCAAGGTGTTTAGTATCATCTTTAGTACCTATATGATCATTTTGAAAGTTGCTACTCTCATTTGAAGTGCCAATTGCATTAGCTACCAGATTTGTGTTAATACTAATTTCAAATTGTGCATCTTCCATGTCAATGTCCTTTATACCATCAGCTTCAGAAGATGAATGTTTTTTTGCACTTTGGTCTTTACTTTTTACAGTTGGTGCAAGTATCAACCGTTTTTGATTATCGGGTAGTGAAGTTGTAGGGCTAGAGTCTGGACTAATTGCCCCAGAGTTAACTGATATTCCATGACTAGAAAGACCCCTTGGGTGGCATGATTTCAAGGGATCTGTATCCTTGACAACATCAAGGGTAATATCATCCATTTCATCATCAATGTATTTCAGTTCACTGCTGGCCCGATTTGCCCATCTTGGAACCTCACCATCAACTATACTGCCACCTATAATACTAATATATCCCTGATTTAAAACGCCATCTTTCTTCTCAGATGGTTTATCACCACAACCACTTCCTACTTTCTTAGTCCGTTGAGCTGCAAGAGATTTAGGTATGGCACCCTGGGTGGCATAGATCTGCCGTAATTGCACTTTATCATTAGCAGTCCTTTGTTCTAAATGTGTCTCCTTTAGTAACAAATCAGAGTTATTTTCTAAATGGAATCCATTCGAGTTTGTGGATTCTGGTGAACTTGACCCTTTAGATGAACCCATAGGGGATTTCATTACAATAGGTCCCTCTCCAAAATTTTTATCCATGATATAGTAATCAGCATTTGGGTCTGTCCTGGAGAAGGAGGGTCCTTTAACAGTGTTTTCTAACACTATGGTGCCATCTAAAGGCTCTGTGAGAAAATGTTTTGGTGACTGAGCAGTGATATGTGAAATCTCAGACACGTCAATGCCACAGTGTGTCGAGTTTGTGAAGCTGGATTCTGAGTTGCCTGAAGGTAAAAAAGATATTAGACTACAGTATTTAAAAAGAATAAAAGAAACATTCCCACTTATATGACTTACTCAACTTTGTTTTTATGAAAATATAGTTAGTTAAATAGTCTTGTAGTAGTAGTCTAGTAAATATTCTGAGAGACATGACAAAAATTTCATGAAAAATACTCAGAAGAAAATACCATTGCTTTCTTCATCTTCACTACAGCCTGCACTGCCATCTATTGGACTATTTCTAGGATGTGTATCATTGATAATTACTGTCATCTGCCGTGGTTGTAAATGTAGCAGACTGGTCTTATACGTAATGCTTCCCATCTCATCTGGTACAGCTGGATTAGTCCCGTAAATTTTAAATTTTGTTCCCCATATATTTGATGTCACAGATACAAGCCTACTATTCTAAAATGCAAAGTGGGGGTTTGTTAAGAACAATAATAAAAATCAAGTTTTTATGTTGGATCATCTTTATTTTTTAACCTGAATTGGTTGCATTATTTTCACTAGTTTTCCTGGTGTTTCATAGAGCTGATAGAAGTCAAATTGGTGATCATGTGTATGGTTTAATAGTTAGTTTTTTGTTAATGTGAAAATGGGTTACCAACCACAATCAACTAATAATGATTCATCATTTTATCATGTACTTCAAACTGACCTCTGGCAAATTATCATCGTATAAGATTTCATCTATTGGTCGCTTCTGGTCTCGCCCTTCAACACGACTGATTTTCCGAGGCTTCTGACGCATCTTTCGTTTCATTCTCGGTGACCCACATCCATCAGTTTGGATGTCATTATCAGAATCTGATCCACTACTTGCTTCAGAGGTACTACTGTTCTCTTCAGAATCTGTAAACAGTGTTATTGTTTTCAAATATAATGACCTATCTCAAACAATTATGGGTTGTTAGTCAAAACTAGAAACAGCAACTCCCTTATGAAAAAAACATGCTTTCCATGGATTGCCATGGGAATTACCAGTATTCCATGATAAATACTTATATTCCATGGAAATTACCATGCAAACCATGAAATATTCCATGGTTATTACTGATACTTCAGGGAAAAAACATGGAATTTTCCATGGTTTTTACCTTGAAATACTGGGTTTCCATAATTTTTGGTCTTGGTCAGGGATCTATGTTATAATTTCACCCATCAAAAATTTTATACCATTCTTAATTATATTAGAAAACCTGTGAAATAAATTTGTTAAAATAGATCAAGTCATGACACATCATGATCATACATGTATTTACTATACAATACAGATTATCAATTCACCAAATATTTTAAACTATTTTAAATTATATTAATTGATTAATTTTAGGGCTGTCGATGGTTAACCGATTAATGGTTTACCGCCATTGGTAGCTTACTCAAGTAAGAAATTTTCAAATACTTAATCCTATTTTGTATTATTAATTTCTTTAAATGTTTGTTTTTCTCAAATGCCTGAGTGTCACATGTCAAGCTCAAGCAATGTGATGGCTTGATAGTTTTGGCGCGAAAAATAAATCCCTCATAATTTACCAATCAACAGCCAGAATCGGATCCAGTTAGGCTTAATATCTTACACAATTCTTTCAACAAAAACGCAATCAGAAACATTTAATTCTTTAGTATTCTTGCGCTTATATCTGTTTCCAACGTGTCAGCAACTCACATGTCAGACACATTGTAATCCTTATGTTACTTCTTTCCAAAGTACGATCACGAAATTATATTCATGATCGTATTGCTTTTATAAGTACTAGCTTAAATGTCAAAGGTCATAGCCTCACTTTGATATTGTGAAAATCAAATTGCAAACAAGGCATTAACATGACAAAATGTCACCACCTAGTTGCTCACAATATTATGAGTTCAATCTTAAGTCAGGTTTGAATTTCTGAGAACTTGTAGATGATTTTGAAAAAATAAATTGGTCAATTTGAAGCAAGTTGAAAAAACCTTTTTTTACCCTAATAAGGTCATTGAAGTTGAAATCTCAAATCTAACAATTTCTGAGAACTTGTAGATGATTTTGGAAAAAAATTGGTCAATTTGAAGCAAAATGAAAAAGTCCTTGTTGACCTTGAGAAGGTCATTGAAGGTCAAATCTTTTTTGACCTTGAGAATTGTCATATACCTTGAAAAGGAACTGAAGGTCAACTCTTAAATATAAAGTCACGTTTGAACTTCTGAAAACTTGTAGAATTTGAAAAAAATTAAAGCTAGTCTAATTTAAAGCAAGTTGTAAAAAGACCTTTTTACCTTTTTTCTGACCTTGAAAAGGTCATTGAAGGTAAAATCTTAAGTCAGATTTGATATTACTCCCCTCTCAATCCCCTCCCCCTCTCCATCCCATTTTAATTATTTTCGTATAATTTTTATATAACATATGGAAACTTATTTTATAAAAACAGCAATTGTATTAATTTTGTGATGATAATGTCACTCAAAAGTATTTATAACAGGTTGTGTAGACCATTGCTGCTTGTTTTATGGCAAAAACATTGACTTTTGCACATTTGTGGCATTGCGCCTCTTTTAATAGATATTATATCTTAAAAGCTTATCGGTTCAAAGAAAATTCTAGAATACCTTACATATTTTACTGTACCATGCTTTCAAGGTCAAGGTCATCAAATTAGGTCACAAACTGTGCTATCTTTGTTCCTCAAAGTTCAAGACTACAAATCAATATTTTGGACTGAAAGTCAGGAAATAGATTCCTCTTAAGGTTCTTCACATATTAGCAATTGGCTATTCATTAAAATTTTGTTCTTCTTTTGAGATATAAGAGCTCAAAAACTTAAAAATTAGTACCGTGGGTACTGGGCTCACATGGTGTTGCTCAAAAGTGAAAATAAAAAAGACGGGTATAATTTTTTGCAGATTTTTTGTGACAAAATTATTTCATACAACTACTCTTTACAAAGACATGGCTTTTTACAATGCAGGACACCTGAACTTATTTGTAAAGCTAGGAAATGGGCCAAAAGTGAATTTCCCGAGACAAAAATGGTGGCCATTTTGAAATTAGGCGAGATTTTGAAGCAGGAGTCAAGGTTTTTTTTTCTTTATTGATGTTGAACAAAATTATTTTAAATCGGGAATCCTATCTACAGAGGATTTAAAAAGTGTTGACAGAGGTTTAAAACTTGCCACTTTTTTGGACTGACTGAGAAACAGATGGACGAATCAATGTTAACTAAAATGGCTGAAAATAAAAAAACTGATATAATTTTGCCGATTATACAACTACTCTTTACAGTGACATGGCTTTTTACAATGCAGAACAGCTGAAATTATTTGTAAAGCTAGGAAATGGGCCAAAAGTGAATTTCGCGAGACAAGAATGGTGACCATTTTGAAAATAGGCGAGCTTTTGAACCAAGAGTCATAGGAGAGTTTTTTGTATTGATGTTGAACAAAATTAACTTAAAACAGGAATCCTATCGACAGAGGGTTTAAGGCAAATGGTCCAAAAGTGGATTTTGCGAGACAGATGGACAAATCAATGTTAACTAAAATGGCTAAAATAAAAAAAATGGATATAATTTTTTGCTGATTTTTCGTAACAAAATTATTTCATACATCTACTCTTTACATTGACATGGATTTTTACAATGTAGGACACTTGAAATTATTTGTAAAGCTAGGAAATAGGTCAAAAGTGAATTTCGCGAGACAAAAATGGCGGCCATTTTGAAAATAGGCGAGCTTTTGAGCCAGGAGTCATAGGGGAGTTTTCTGTATTGATGTTGAACAGAAATAACTTAAAACAGGAATCCTATCGACAGAGGTTTTAGAACGTGCCACTGTTGTTGACGGAAAATGGATTTCACAAGTCAGATGGACAAATCAATGTTAACTAAAATGGCTGAAAATAAAAAAATAGATATAATTTTCGCTGATTTTTTGTAACAAAATTATTTCATATATCTACTATTTACATTGACACAGATTTTTACAATGTAGGACACCTGAAATTATTTGTAAAGCTAGGAAATGGGTCAAAAGTGAATTTCGCGAGACAAAAATGGCGGCCATTTTGAAAATAGGCAAGCTTTTGAACCAGGAGTCAAAGGGGAGTTTTCTCTATTGATGTTGAACAGAAATAACTTAAAACAGGAATCCTATCGACAGAGGTTTTAAAATGTGCCAGTCAAAAGTGAATTTCACGAGACAAAAATGGCGGCCATTTTGAAAATAGGCGAGCTTTTGAACCAGGAGTCATAGGGGAGTTTTCTGTATTGATGTTGAACAGAAATAACTTAAAACAGGAATCCTATCGACAGAGGTTTTAAAACGTGCCACTATTGTTGACGGACAGACAGACAGACAGACAGACGGATGTTAACTAAAATGGCTGAAAATAAAAAAAAATGGATATAATTTTTTGCTGATTTTTCGTAACAAAATTATTTCATACATCTACTCTTTACATTGACATGGATTTTTACAATGTAGGACACTTGAAATTATTTGTAAAGCTAGGAAATAGGTCAAAAGTGAATTTCGCGAGACAAAAATGGCGGCCATTTTGAAAATAGGCGAGCTTTTGAACCAGGAGTCATAGGGGAGTTTTCTGTATTGATGTTGAACAGAAATAACTTAAAACAGGAATTCTATCAACAGAGGTTTTAAAACGTACCAGTCAAAAGTGAATTTCGCAAGACAAAAATGGCGGCCATTTTGAAAATAGGCGAGCTTTTGAACCAGGAGTCATAGGGGAGTTTTCTGTATTGATGTTGAACAGAAATAACTTAAAACAGGAATCCTATCGACAGAGGTTTTAAAACGTGCCACTATTGTTGACGGACAGACAGACAGACGGACAGACAGACAGACGGACGGACAGACAGACGGACAAGTGAGCGATTGCAAAAGCTCACCATGTGAGCTAAAAAGGTCAAATTTCAACTTCCTTTAAATTTAACAAATCTTTTTTTAAACATCATATAGAAGTTGCCTAGAGTTGATACATGACCTTAAATATGAGATTTGACCTTTGACTGATCTTCTTATTGACAAAAAATGCTTAGGGGCCTCCGTAAGATTGCTTGCAATCTTGATATCTAACTTAGTTTATATTTAAAACTGACTGGCTCTACTCCTTCCCAATTCTGTTACTACCCCCCCCCTCCCTCCCTGCCCAAATGTAAAACTATTTTTTTTTTTTTTTTTTTTTTATATTTGATTTATTTCATAGTAAAATAGAATTATTACATCCACATGTTGCGGCTTTGCAATGAAGCATTATAAGCCACAATTAACTAATAACAAGATTTAAAAAGAAAGTATGACAATGAATTTGCAATAAACAAAAGAATTATTGTGTACAAAATTATACAGTTGGTGGTGGAAGAACTACTTACACGCTTGCACACCTTTGAATAAAAGCTGAGGTGAGCCTTAAAATTTCAATATTAACTTCTTTTGGCAGACTTCTGTCTCCATACAAAAACAATGATAATTTGTCTTGCTGGTTTTTAAATGCTGGGTAATTAAAATTTAGAAGAGTAAGTGCATCCTCTAAATCTTTAAGATATTGTGATCTAAGGTTACAAGAGAACATGACATGAATGGATGTTTCATTGCTATACCCACATTTGCATGTAGGGGATGGTACATTAGTAAAATTGTGGGCGTAAAAATGGGACTGGAAGATCAGATCACAGCGCACCTTGTTCAGAGAAATTTCTTGGCTCCTTGTCAAGGAGATCTCAGAGGAATTAATGATATAAGTAGTCATTAATTTTTTCTTTACATTCGATTTAAAAATATTTAAATTTGGTGATTCTTTAATTTCGGGTGGGAGAGACTCCAAGTCAATGATGGATTTAAATACGCATGATCTATTTGAAAATGTTGAGGTTTTGATTGGAATTTGGTAGTCACGACTTCTTCGTGTTATTGATATTGATTAAAAATGCTCAAAACGTAGGATGGAAGTTTATTGTTGTACGCTCGGTACATCAGGAAAAGTCTATGCATTTGTCTTCTATCAGATAGCTTTGGCCAATTTAAGCAGTTAAAGACTTTTGTTGAAGATGTTCCATGTAGTACACCTGAGCAAATGCAGGCTGCTTTGTAGTATAATTGATCAATGGATTTTAATTTATTCATATTTGCACAACCATAAAGAATATCGCAATAGTCGAAAATTGGAAGTATGAAAGATTTGAAGATTAATTCCAGGTGTTTTCCATTTAATTTGTTGCTAAGAGATTTAAGTGGGTTTAATAGTTTATCAATCCTCTTGGTGAGCTCTGTGATGTGTTGGTCAAAAGTTAGGTGTTTGTCTAGTATGAGACCTAAATGTTTATGATGATCAACTTGAGGTAGAACATCATTACCAATTTTGAGGTCAGGAACGTTATATTCACATTTCCTTGGGTTTGAGAAAATTATGTCTTTGCTTTTAGAGGCCTTAAAGTTCATTTTCCATGTCTTGGACCATTGGAAAATTGAATTAAGATCAGATTGTAAAATTGTGTTACTTTCAATGAGATTTGATTTGGAATATGGTTGGTATAGAGATGTGTCATCTGCATAAATATAGCATTTGCTTGATAAGGTTTCAGGGAGATCATTTATATAAATCAGGAAGAGTAGGGGTCCAAGAATAGAGCCTTGTGGAACACCAGCATTTATATAATCCTCATCGCTCAAAACAGACTCTTGACCATCAAGGATAACTTTTGCTTGTCTCTTAAAAAGATATGATGCTAAAAGTGATAGAATACTTGGGCCAATTCCATAAGATTCAAGTTTTTTTAGTAGCAAAGAATGAGGTAAGGTGTCAAACGCAGCTGAAATGTCTAAATAAACCCCCCTTACATTTCCCCCAGATTCTATTTCATTTGTTATAAAATCAATAATGCTTAATAATTGAGCCTGAGTGCTGTGCCCTGGCAGAAACCCACTTTGAAGATTGTAAAATAGGTCATTTGATAGTAGATGGTCAAATAATCGTTTGAAAATGATACGTTCAGCTATTTTTGAAATACAACAAAGGAGCGTGATTGGACGGAAATTTTGAATATTAGATTTATCACCCTTTTTATGAACAGGTAAAATATGTAAAACTATAACACAGGTATTTATCAGAAATGCTTGATATAAACTATAATAATAGAAGTATAAATGTATCTCAAAACACTGTTGAACTGTTGAAGATATATGTATATATACATGTATATAGATATTGAGATGACCCAGAATATAGCATATATCCCAAATATTGAGATGAATATGAAGAAGACCCAGAATATGTACCCTATGAAATCCAGAATTATGTAAATGAGATTTATACTTTAACCTGATAAGCTCTGCCCCTCCCAATTCTGTTACTACCCCCCAGGCAACACTTAGATGTACATTATTTACCTTGTCCTAACCTTACCTAAATGCTTGATATTAAGTTTAATCAAAGAAGTTCAATACATGTATAAGTGTATCTCAAAAGGCAAGTTAAACTCTGTATTTATAGAGAATGGTAACAATCATCTACTATTACGAGGGTGACGACCACTTTTGATCACTTATGTAACCAGAACAACGGCAACGCCAAAGCGTAGCGAATCCCATCGAACAGAAATGGCTGGCATTTTTAGAAACAAAATATATAGCAAATATCATAAAACAACGCATATAAGAAAGGCCACCATTTTCGAAATGGTTGCTCACTAGCCAAGTTGTCATCAGAAGAAATAATATGCTTTTAAGTAGCCACCTATAAAATTTTTGAAAAATCGCACACATATACTTGTAAAATAACACACATAAAAATGGTGGCCCTTTTTCAAAATGGCCGACTACTCCCCAAAGTTTTATTAGACAATGTGCCATGCTTAAAGTATATACATATCAAATATGAATAAAATCGCTCCACTACTTTTTGAGTTAAAGTAAAAAATGTAAAAATGACAGCCATTTTTTAAAATGGCCGCCTACTATCCGAAGTGTCATGAGACAGTGTGCAAGGCTCATGAGTATTCACATATCAAATATGAACAAAATTGCTTTACTACTTTTCAAGTTATAGTAAAAATGAAAATGGTGGCCATTTTGAAAAATGGCCGCCTACTACCCAAAGTGTCATTAGACAGTGTGCCATGCTTATAGTATTCACATATAAAATATGAAACATGAACAAAATCGCTCCACTACTTTTCAAGTTATAGTAAAATACCTTAAAATAGGACCATTTTTCAAAATGGCCACCTTCTACCAAAAGTGTCATTAGACAGTGTGCCATGCTTTAAGCATTCACATACCAAATATAAACAAAATCGCTCCACTACTTTTCGAGTTATAGTAAAATATGTTAAAATGTCGGCCATTTTTCAAAATGGCCACCTTCTACCAAAAGTGTCATTAGACAGTGTGTCATGCTTATAGTATTAACATACCAAATATGAACAAAATCGCTCCACTACTTTTTGAGTTATAGTAAAAAACGTTAAAATGGCGGCCATTTTTCAAAATTGTTTTCAAAATGGCCGTCTTCTACCAAAAGTGTCATAGGACAGTGTGCCATGCTTATAGTATTCACATACCAAATATGAATAAAATCGCTCCACTACTTTTTGGCCTTTTTGAGTTATAGTAAAATACGTTAAAATGGCAGCCATTTTTCAAAATGGCCGCCTTCTACCAAAAGTGTCTTTAGACAGTGTGCAATGCTTATAGTATTCACATACCAAATATGAACAAAATCGCTCCACTACTTTTCGAGTTACAGAAAAAATCGTAAAATAACGAGTAAAGGCCGCCATTTTTCAAGATGGCTGCCATGTGCTTCTTTAATATCTACATTTCTAGCTTTATTAATGTCCTTTATAATTTTTTTACATTTAAAACATATTGCTATTACAGTTTTACATATTGCACCTAAATTACTGTAAAATCGGCACTAAAATGGCCGCCATTTTGAAATGAGTGGCCATTTTGAAAATGGGCTTTCGAGCAGAACTTCTACGCCCATAGGGTATATGCGTACAAAATATGAACAAAATCGGGCCAACATTATTTGAGTTATTGCCCGGACGGACGGACGGACGGACGGAGGCGTTCCCTATATCCCTCCGAACTTCGTTCGATGGGATAATTATATGATCTTTGACTCTTACCATTCATGAAAATTACAATATCCTTATAACGCAGATGCGAGTAGGTAGTTACCAGTTTCACCACCAGGTGGCTCGTTCGGGTCAGATAGCATGGCGGGTATAGTAGAAAGTTCCCTTTAACTTAAATTACATCTGTTTTAGTGGTTCAATTTTCATATAACCCTTATGTATCTAATAGTTATGCAAATCAAAATATGTCCAGTAAATGAAAATGTTATCTGACCAATACAAGAAAAGATATTCCCCTTTTTGTGATTTCGTAACATGGGCTCTATGGAGAATCAACCCGAACTAGAAGTCACACTTTCAAAAATAATTAAATTTTCAAACTTGATAAACAATTTTCGAAACCATATTTCTTGATGTACTTTTACTTGTACATGTCAAATATAACATCGCTTTGACTGAATTTTGAATATTTAATGGCGTAAATCAAGATTATTTCTACTCGCATCTAGTCTATTCAAACAATTGTTTGAACTGCCCTGGTGACTTTGAGAGTGCTAAAATGTTCTAATAACTGTTGATTTGAAAAATAATCCACATTCTTTATTATGTACAAGTATTTTTTACCAAAATTAAGGATTTTTTAACAAAAATTGTGGTTTCCATGCTCAGGGGGTTCACTGTATATAAAACTCGACGGGGGTCCTAGGCTGAAGCCTCAAATATCAATATGTTCCCATACCAATCTGTCAAATTTCAATATGTTCCCATACCAACCAAAATAACGCCCAAAGGCCATACCAAATGTCCAAATATAGGACCAATGCCATACCAAATGTCCAAATACAGGACCAATGCCATACCAAATGCCCAATTATGGGACCAATGCCATACCAAAAATCAAAATGTAGGACCAATGCCATACCAAATGTCCAAATATGGGACCAATGCCATACGTTAATTCAAAGTAAATGAAATATAGGATCAATGTCATACAAAGGAACTACTGGACCAATGCCATACCACGAATGTTAGGCAACGTATCTACAACGACCATTCTCATACCAGAAGAGCAAAAGTCTGACCATTGCCATACCTCAGAAGTCAGAAATTTCTGGGCATTCCCATACCAAATCCTAAAATATAGGTCCATTGCCATACCAAACGTTGAAAAAGGTACCCCACATGCGCCGAGGATCCCCGTCAAGGTTTATATATAGTGAACCCCCCCGGGTTTCCATGATAACCATTAGTGACAGACCATTGAAACTTTACATACTATCTCAAAATTATCATCAACTCTCAATAAAATTATTATGATGATTGAAGATCAACTGAATGATTTTTCAATGATGATAAAGTACCCCCTGTAATTTTCTATTTTAGGGTCAAATACCACATTTTGACAACTTTCTTCCCAGATACAGGTGCATCAGACTAACATTTTCTGAAGAAGCACATAAAAATACATAAGAAACAAGGTGCTAGCTCAATGACAACATTTATTTAACTCAAAATGCAAATTGACAAACCTTTTCCAAGTCTGATCTTAGGATCAAAGATAACAAACTCAGGCTTCAGTTTACTGGCTCGTTTACCCTTCAGCAGTGGAATAAGTCCCCCCAGGAACTCTAGATAGAGCGTATAGTAACCAGAATTTTCATCCCCATGACGTAACATAGTGCAATACAAACGTTCTCCACCATTTGGGGGCTGGCTGACGAATTCCCGTAGCTTATAGGCATCAGGTGTACAACCCTATAAATCAGATAACAAGCATTTTGATCCTTACTTGCAACAGTTCATTTAGTAACATTACTCAAAATACAAACAGATAAGTAAATGTCCATTCACAAGAAAGGGTTTTGGAAAAGAAGCAGATTCTTGCATCAAAATAAATCCTGATTGATTTGAAAAGTAGAAATCTTTAATCATGTAAATAAATGTAGAATGCTTTTTTCAGAAAATGTTTTGCATTTTTTACTCACTTTAATTGTTGGCATAAACATCATGGCGACTTGTGATTTGAGCTTGGTAGGTAATGGCAGCTTTTGAATTGCTGTGCACACCCTTAGTTGCTTCTGAATGTTCCTCCTACACAAGTACTGCAGCGATGACACATGTTTGTTTACCCAAGCTATGAATATATAGCATCCCACTGCTATGAACAGTCTCTTATCATTGTGACCCCATGTTACAGCTGTGAGAGGCTTTGTCTGAAACAATTCAAGAATTTACAACAATTTTTCAGATGCACTTAAACATTGTTATCTATCTCAATGTTATGGAAATATAGAACAAATGTCAACAATTTTGGAAAAACGAAGTTAATTTCATTAGCAGTAAGTGGTACAATGTATATGACAATTTCATCAATGAAGAATGTTTAAGAAAAATTTGAGTTATAAATCAACATTATCAGCCAAATCCACAAGCCCACAAGACTGTTTTCACCAGCCTATCTGAATAAGGGACACACACAAACATCTTTTACACAGAGATTAGGCCAATCTTTACCTGAGTATGGATATCAATAGAGAACCTGAGAGAGCCCTCACGTGTGTAGAAATCCACCCTGTTCTTACATTCTAAGTTGGGCTGACGTACAAAGCCCCCAACACACAGCACCTCCCCATCATTGCTCCACTCCATCTTTAGTCCTAGAAATACATATTAACATGATGTACTTAAAATATTATTGTTAGATTCCAGCAAAGTGAACTTTAACCTTTTGTAAACTCGAAAAACTCCACATACATGTAGTAGCAAATCCCACCAAACAAAACATATTTTTTGCTAATTAGTGGCAATGAGAATTTTTTCTCGAGAGAACATATCAGCATATACCCAAAGATAAAACCCATGCTTTCCATGGAAATTACCAGTGTTCCATGGTAAATACTGGTATTCCATGGAAATAACCATGGAAAACCATGAAATTTTCCATGGTAATTACCAGTTTTTCATGGGGAAGGAACATGGAATTTTCCATGGTATTTAACATGAAATACTGGTTTTCCATGACTTTTTGTCTGATATATCTTGATCATTGATCTACTCTATAATATCAATCCATTAACCTCTTGACTACCGAGAATGACGAGATTTCTCGTCACCTCAGAAATGACCTTGAAACCCAGAAGGACGAGAAAATCCGTCACAAAATTTTTCACAAAAATTGATCTTATTTGAACAATTTTAATCCAATTTACACAAAAATTGTTTTAAAACGTGTAAAAATGATCTCTGCCATCTAATTTTACTAAGTTGAGCATCTAAAGTTATATAGGTTTGTAGTAAAATGCCAAAAGGAGGCAAAATTTAGAAAATTCTCTGGATTCAACCAATTTTAGAGCCTGGGATTCAAGAAGTTAACTGTTTTAAACTATCTTAAATTATATAAAAAAACTAAAAGTTGCTTAAACTTTACTAGTTTTAGATATTCATAGAATCAGGTTTCATGGAGTTGAAAAAAGTTATTTCAATTTTAGAATGAATTCCTAACATTCCTCATCATGTCAAATTTCTAAAAATCACCCATATATTCATCTTTTTTTTAATGAATTCATCACATTTTTCATTGTTTAAGTAAGTAACTTCAATTGATAACTGAATTTATTGAATTTTGTCATCCCCTTAATAGACTGATTCTACCTTGGAATAATAACTTTGGTTTCACATGAAAATAATAGGTTATTACTAAATTATGATTTTGCAATATTAACCTCTTGACTGCCCAGAATGACAAGATTTTCGTCACCTCAGAAATGACCTTGAAACCCAGAGGGACGAAAAAATCCATCACAAAATGTTCACAAAAATTGCTCTTATTTGAACAATTTTCATCCAATTTACACAAAAATTGTTTTAAAACGTTTAGAAATGATCTCTGCTATCTAATTTTACTAAGTTGAGCATCTTAACTTGTAAAGGTGGCAAAAATGAAAAAATTCTCTGGTTTCAACGGATTTTAGAGCCTGGGATTCAAGAGGTTAAAAGAATTAAGAATTCTGAATAATTAATTTACCGATCAAAAAGATAAAGAATGTCTTTCAATTAACACAAGTATTAGAGCTTAGATGGATAAAATACATATATACTCAATTATGTTAATCTGGTAATAAATTCCAATGTCTACAAAACATATCAGCTTTATAATCCAATTATACATTAAGAACTTTGCTACTAATGCTCTAATATTTGGAATCATGTGTTTTGTTACAGAATTATTACAGACAGCATCATCATGCTTGTTAACATGAGGAACCATCAATGAGAAGAGTTAGAAGGAAATCACATGGGTGATTGCAATGTCTGCTCCCTAAAATAACATCCTTTATTACATAAAGCTTTAAACTTTTCACCAAATACATTTTTCTTTGATGATATTTTCAAATCAGGCATCCTATTATTTTAAAAGATTAACTTATCTATAATAATATTTCAGTCAATACTAAGTCAATACAAAGAAAACAAAAAAACTAACTATCTGATATTGTCTATTTTCTAAAAATCCTATAGAATTGGGAACATTAGTACAATTAAGTTTCAGTATACAGGTTTCACTGGACAAATTACCAGAAAACCAGGTTTCACTGTATATTTTACCAGAAAAAGCATGGAATCCTGATTGCATTTTGTAGAAAGCATGGAATCCTGATTGCAATCAACTCACGTTTTTTTCAAAATGCAATCAGGATTCCATGCTTTTTACAAAATGCAATCAGGATTCCATGCATTCTACAAAATGCAATCAGGATTCCATGCTTTTTACAAAATGCAATCAGGAATCCATTGCTTTTCTGGTAAAATATACAGTGAAACCTGCTTTTCTGGTAATTTGTCCAGTGAAACCCGTAAACTGAAATATGCGGAAATTTCACAGGAATTCCGTATGTCATACATTTGCTTCGAAATTTGTGTATATGTCACGCATTTGCTTCTAAATGTTTTGTGATATCATGGTTAAAGTTCTCGACCATGGAACATGGAAGTATTTGAGTTATCAAAGATTACGTTTTTTATGGAAAATAGCGGCCATTTTAGAATTCAGTGCCTATCTTGAAAATCTCTTTTTGGACAAAGATCCCTAATCCCTAGGTTTCAGCATATAAATTTTGTACCAAATCTGTCAATAGTATTTGAGTAATCAAATATTATATTTTTACGGAAAATGGTGGCCATTTTGAATTGAGTAGCCATATTGAAAATTCCTTCTTGAGCAGAGGTTCTACTCCCATAAGGCATAAACCTATAAAATTTGAATGAAATCTGTCAACCAGTATTTGAGTTATTGGCCAAACACTCAAACAGATGAACGGACGGATGAATGAATGGATGAATAGACAGCTTCTCAGCTTTGTATAAAAAATGAAGGACCCACGGTCCTATGCTCACACAGTTTGGAACCTTCAGAGGAATTTATATCCTGACTTTCAAACAAAAATATTGATTTGGATTTGTAGTCTCGAACTTTGAGAAACTTAGATAGCATAGTTGTGTCACCTAGTTTGATGACCTTTGACTTTGAAAATTTTACTTATTCAGAGCTCAGTAAGGTCTTTTGTGATTAAGCTGACCAAAATTTACATCCAAAAATCAATTTGAAAAATCAACTTTTTTTGACCTTTCGAAGGTCACTGAAGGTCAAGTAAAGGTCAAATCCTAAAACTAATGTCAGATTTGAACTCCTGGCAACTTGTAGATGATTTCCAAAAAAAATTTGGTCAAATTGAAGCAAGTTGAAAAATAACTTATTTTTACTGTTTTTTTGACGTCAAATATCTCAAAAACGGTAAAAATTTGATGCTGACATATATTGAGAAATATGTAGGGAATGCTTATATCTATTAATGATGTAATTTATTGCAGGAAATGATCAAGTATAAGGCAAACTTTAAGAATCTTGTCCTACTTTTTTTCAAATTTTATAGAGTAAACACCAAAAACCGTAATTCCAAGAGCTTTGAAATCTTCAGAGGACATAAGTTGCATATACACCAACTACTAAAAGTTATTTGAAAGTTCTACTTCAACAAAGTGTCTAGTATTTACAGAAAATTTGACTTATTGACGTCAAAATCCGCAATTTCTCCGAAACCGGGCGAACTTGGGAAATGGCGATGATAGGTCAAATAGGCATTATGGATATGCATAAAATGAATGTGGATATGACTCAATCCGAATAGCAGTTTTAATTTGTGCGGCCAATGTTGACGGACGGATGGACCAACGGACGGACGGACGGATGGACCAACGGACGGACGGACCAACGGACGGACGGACGGACGCCTGGTCAATCCCATAGGCTCACTGTGTGAGCCAAAAACCTCCTTCCTCATACCAATCTACCCACGTGACATGATACAGTCTTTGAAGGGTTCAATTTTAAAGATCTTAGTTTATTAAATCTCAGTTTATGGTGAATTATAGATGCATTTGTAACGACCCTTGATAGCAAGTTGCTACTACATCCCAGCTGGTCTGATTCCCACTCGGGGAATCGAATTTAGCACACCTTCTTTCATTTTCTTTATCTTGCTTGTTGGACCTATGCTCGTGGTCGTTAGTTATTTATTCCTCTGGGGCGCCCTCGGGTCATTACACATTAAAATGCATCAATATGTCTTTATTTATGGATCTGTCATCTGTCTAGTCATAAAATAAAGCCGGAATTATAGAAATATTAACAATTTGAGCTATTTTGAGATTTAATAATCTTTAAAATTGAACCCTTCAATGACTGTATCATGTTCCACATAGGTGGGTAGGTAGGTAGGAGGTTTTTAATACAAAGCCCAGCTTCTCTAAATCCCACTTGAACTTCTTTCAGTGAGATAAATAGTATTTCTTTTATCATTTATTTTAATCTCAGATCTCATAGTCATAGTATAGATCTTATAGTTTGAAACAATAATATTGTGTGCACATTTTAATCTGCCACCTGTCCTTGATTGCAGAAGACATCTATTGAATATAAGCCACCTCGATCTTATATTGGTTTATATCACCATTGACAAGGTACAGTGACAAAATATATCGTAGTACACTTTTGATGTATGATGTCACTTTTTAACCGCTTTGAAGCAAAGACAATGTTATAGGTTTGATGTAGGTTTAAAAAAAATAATCTGAGGAATGCATTAAGGATTTCATGTTTGATTTTTTTGTGTATTCGTTCAAGAAAGTGACATCGTACATCGAAAGTGTACTACGGTATATTTTGTCACTGTACTTTGTCTATGGTTAGGCGTGTTTTATAAGATTGCTTTCATTTATATCGCAACTCAATAAGGTGTATATTAAAGATTAACCTTCCTGTTATCTCAAAATCTGCTTGGATCCACACCATTGGATAACATGGGAAATTCCTCCAAGAGAATATTCAAGAGATTAAAGACTGGTGCAGTTTACACAATTTGAGAAATTATTGGCATACATGAAACCTATTTAAAACAACATTTATGTTATTCAAAAGTGTCGAGCACAATGATTCCCAGCCCTCTGATGTTTGAAAAATTATATGGTGCAATCTTATAGTCAATAAAATAAATGTTTTAAAGTGTATTCCTGTTTTTAAGATGAAAAACATATATGAAATGCATGAAAAACCCCCAATTCATTCCAAACTCACGCTCCTTTCCACCATTATTCACAATAT